GTTACATTTTAAAACTTTTTACATGGGCATTAATCTCATACTATATTATTATGATACAGACCCATTTTTATGTTCGGTATGAGGCCCACACTTATTATGAGCCACAGGTTACATTACTACATAAAATAACGATTTGAAATGATTTTGATAGAAATATTATAGCGTGTTGACAGAATCGGTACTAAATCGAGCGCATAAGAAATTCGAGAAGCTCAAATAAAATTATACAATAAATATTTTTGGGACCATTGTTAGAAGATTGCATTAGCTTTCATTGGTTAAAGACATGCAGATTCTTGTGCTACAGTTAGAGGATTCATGGGCGGGTCTGCGAGTTGAATATAAACTACATGATCGTAATAATTCATAATTCTCTATAATTAAAACTCAACAAAAAATTTGAGTGATTGAACAAATGTTTGACATTTTTATAGTACAGACATTCTTTTAGTGTAGAGGAAATGAAGAGCGACATGCATTATGGATAGTTTTGAAAATTCTGTTGTCGTTTGAGTTTTGTTTTTTTTTTCCAAATTACACCCAAAACTCAGACACTATAAAACAAATAATCATATTTTCAAATTTCAAAAACAACGAACACACTGTTTATATTGGTTTATATAGACTGGTTATTTCCGGTTTAGTAAATACTTCTGTATAGTTAACATTATGTACAGAGTAAAGTAGATTATATATTGAATTGTACAGCTCATTATCCAACACAGACACCATGGATATATGAAATCGAACACACAGAAGACGAATCCGAGCTCAGAAATGGTGAAAATGAAGGAAATCGAGGAGAAAAATGAGCTAGGAAAGCTCTGATACCATATTAGCGGTTAAGAGTATATATGAGGAAGACGACGAGAGAAAAGTTTGTTGGGAAAATTATTCTCATTACTTTGGATAATTAGCTGTACAATTTAATATATACTCTACTCTACTCTGTACATAATGTTAACTATACAGAAGTATTTACTAAACCGGAAATAACCAGTCTATATAAACCAATAATTTACTGTATACCTGATACCCTATCTTTCTCTCTCACACACACAAGATGTATATATATATATGTATATATATGTGGCCCTATATAAAATTGTCACGTTGTGGGTGTAGGGCCTAATTCCTTACGAAATTAAATGAAGAAAATCCTGAAGATGATTATATTTATTGGGTAGAAGAGACAGAGAGACGTGGACATAGTTGGTCGGAGAATGACGGGGGAACGTGAAGGTGCCGACCAAACTCAAAGATGTGATCGCTATGAATTACAATTATGAACTCTTTACTTGCTCCAAACCGACCATGCAATGCCAACTTATAAATATTCAAAATGGAAAACGACTATATTTAGCCTTTAAAATTTTGATCATACAAAAAATATCTATATTGGAGAGTGTATCAGTAATTATGTGGTAGTACATGCACGGATACGAATCCGTTCTTCGATGAGAATATTGAATATCAAAATTAATGTACATGCACGGATACGAATCCGTTCTTCGATGAGAATATTGAGGTTACAATTATTCCAAGTTGGAGGGTTCTTTTGCAAGTTCGGATTGCGGATCATCTAACTCCATCGACAAGGAAAAAAATTAGTAAGCAAAAAAAATGCATAGAAAAGAGAAAACAAATCTATCTTTATGATAAAAGAAAAAAGTAGAAAATTCTTCTTTTAGAAATGGAGGGACTAATATTTAACCGCTGAGTCTACTAATCATAATTTTAGACGTTCCCTAATTACTTATTATTATGTATCTTTAAAGGTTGTTCGAAATATACTGCTAAAATCATTAAACAGACACAGATTTCAAAATGAACTAGATTCTAATCCGGTGCGAATGCACGGGAATATTTTTTATTATTTAACGAATTTTGTAATATAATTTGTGTTTTTGAGTTTAGATATAATTATTTTTATAAATATATATTTTAATAAGTAAAAATATTGATTTTTGTGTTTAGATATATTTTTATAGTATTAAAATTAATTATGATTATAAAATATAACTTTAACCCGTCCGCTAATATTAATTCAAAATGAACTATTATAAAAACATAATTCTAATTTTTCCGTTCGTATTACCGTATAATATAAATATTTGTTAAAAATTTGAGATGTATTAAAAGTATTATTTAGCATTATAGTTTTCAAAAATTTAATCAACGAAGGGAGTGTACAACTGTTTTTCAAACCACATTATAGTGTATGGAATAATTTTTAATTTTTTTATGTTTTGATTTTGTATGAAAAATATATTTTCGATATACATGTATAATTCAAAATTAGTGATATTAGTTACCAAAATAGTTTTAACCCGGTTTTTAGTATATATTTTTAGTTCTATCAATTTTAAAAAATATTTTTTTGATATTTAAATTATACATTTGAATTTTATCTATTATTTTATTATTAATTTATAAATAAATCATAATCGTAAATATATTATATAAACAACATAAATATCATATCATTTACATCATTATAAATATTTTATATTTCAAATATGACCATTTTTTTTCATATGTGAATTTTTTTCTTCAAAAATTCTAGATATTTTTGATAAAAATGTTTAATAAAGTATAGAAATTATTTAAATTAGAATCTTTAAATCAAATCTAAATTAATATCTGATTTATTATTTTTAATCTAATCAAATCAAATCAAATCTAAATTACCTATATTTAAGGAATTCTAAAAATATTTAAATTAATAACTAATTTTCGAAATTAAATATAAATAATTATTAAAATTATTTTTAAACACTTAAAAAAAATTAGGAGTGTTTGGAAGCAAGTACTAAATGTGCTTCTGTTTTAATATAATAGATTGGTCACGGTTAAAAAAAAAACATGGTAGGTCCAATGACTCCAATCTAACATATAAGATATTTCAATATAGCTGTTTTCTTCCTGAAACAAATTTGAAGTAATAAGACAACACAAATTGGCTGGGATGCACCGGACTAAAAATCAGCCATGTGCCACACTGATGTACTTCTTATTCAGAATAGCTCTCAGTCAGTTAGTGTTTTGCACTGAATTTCACCGTTAACAGAAACCAAATGTTAACAGAAACCAAATGTTTACAGAAACCAAATGTTTATACGTTGTTTACTCTTATGATATGTAAAAACAGTGTTTATCATCAAAACACCAACGTTAAGATAGGAGATAACTGATTTCAAGATTTCTTTTTAGATGTTACTTGTTCGGTTTACAAGTGTTATTTTTAGATTTTCAAAGAAAGTATCACTTCAATTTTTAAGTTGTTGTTGTTTTTTTTATATTGCCATCAATGGAAAGGCATATGAATTATATTTATATGGAAAGAACAAAAAGGAAGGTAGGGGAAATTAAGTAATGGTGCGGTGTACGAAATGGTCCAACTTTGCACATGCTAATTTGCGTATCGTATATATGAAATGAATCTGCATGTGTATAATGTATTGTCTTTAATTCTTTGATCGTGGTTTGGTAAGCCTAGAGCTAGCTGGTTGTGTTAGGTATAGTCTATCTTCGCAAGTTTTCACGTTCAAACTATCATAATCAAGCTGTTTTATATCAAAAGAAAAGAAATGATCAACATATTTTATTTGTATGAAATTTGGACGTACACACTTTGTGTCTTTGGGAGCCGAAATGTCTATCATGGATTTATACGTCTTTTTTTGGTCTATATTATAATCTTAGAGGCGTTTTATCAGTCGTTTTGTGCAGCTTTGATAAGTTTGGTTTTTTCGTTTTTTTTGCTCATGTGATTTACCTCGGCAAAATTGTGATTTTTTTTTTGTTTGTTATTAATCTATTGCTATTTGAATTCTTTGGTCCGGAGATCTATCTGCAGATGCTATGCTTTAATATCTAACGTCTAAAACGAGTCTTGGCAAACGGATATAAAACGAGTCTTGTTTGTAAACTACTGAAATGGTGTTTGATACAATTTTCGTTAGATTTTTGTTATTAACACCATTATCAAATCATGGAATGGTATAGAAGTGGCTAGAGATGGTTCGTGTGAATCGTGTCCACTCGTTTCACGAACTTTCTATCCATTTTACCCCACAAGATCTAGCGAATCTATTCTCAATCCATATATTCACGTTTCGTATGCAAACAAAATGAAATCGAAATGACAAAAATGTCCCGACATATTCCCGCCGAAATGTTGGAAGAGAATTAGAAAGAAGAAAATAATAAATAGTGATTCGAGATGGATCAGCAATCAAACATATTTTTGGGAGCCGATCTTTTTATACGCTAAAATAAATAAAAGCCAAATTCAGAAATTTGAAACTTTAAAGCTCATGACTTGTAAGTGTGAGTTTTCTGCTGTAAGAATGAATTTTTAGGCAAATGGTGACACCTTTTTGCTGAATTGGTGGAAATCTTAAGACGAATTGGCTGAAAACACATATACCTGCAAATGGTTTCACTTTAAAGTTTTAGACTATCCCAGAGCTAGCTAGCTTAGACCTACATATATAAGATCCCATTACGAAACAAAATATTACTATGTAAACATATAAACACCTTACTTTCACATATATATATATATATATATATATATATATACAGAACCCATTTTTCATAAAATTTCGGGCCATTTAAAACTTTAGTATCACTTTCAGCGAATACGGTAGTAATTATCATCATTTGCATTCCCTAGTTTTTCCAAGTTAAGTGCTACGCGATTTATATGGACTAAAACTATATTGTATGTGGCACTAATTTGTTCACCTAAAAATAGTTACACATCACGTTAAATGATTCGTCCAAGTTTGATACAATTTTTGTCTAGCATAAATCATGTATAAATATGTACCAGTTTTGATTAAAAGAAAAAACCATATACCAATTAACCGCACTAAAAATTTATTAAATACATCAATTTAAAAATATTTCTCTTAAGTTCATTATCTAAATTACCTACGGTACTTCAAACTCTAAATAATTCAATATTTTTCATTAGAAGAGAAAAATATAACTTCGTAGCATAATTCACATCCCCTGGTTTTATCATATATATAGTCATTAATACCGTACAATACAATTGCACAAAGACAAAAGCCTTCCAGGGAAATAAAAACTCCAACAACAAACCCAAATACAACATTAATCAACATACAAAGATTCATCTAAAAAAAGATCCAACGGTCACAAAGAAACCCAATCACGATGCGAAACAGAAACAAATCAAATCACAACATCGAATTTTTTTTTTTTTTTTTTTTTTTGGGTCTTCAATAATCAGTGGTGGGCAATTGCTCATGGTCGTTTCCGCCGATGAAAACAAACTCGTAGATGAGTCCGGCGAGTCCACCACCGACAAGAGGACCAGCCCAGTAAACCCAGTGGTTGCTCCACGACCAGCTCACGACGGCTGGTCCGAAAGCGACGGCTGGGTTCATGGAGGCTCCACTGAAAGCTCCACCGGCGAGGATGTTTGCTCCGACGATGAAACCAATGGCGATTGGTGCGATTGTTCCGAGACTTCCGTTTTTGGGGTCGATGGCGGTTGCGTAGACTGTGTAGACGAGCCCGAAGGTCATCACGATCTCGAAGACGAATGCGTTTAATGATCCAACTCCGGCAGAGAGACCGAACGCCGGAACCGCCTGCAAAAAATAACATTTTGAAAGGAAAAAAAGGTTTAGTTACTTGCTGTAAAAGTTAGGTCAAAGGGTTGTTTAAGTGAAAATACTCATTATGTAATGGATATAAACCGAACCCAAAACTTGGTTCAATTAAGTTTTAAACAGCATCAAATCCACGAAATCTAATTTTATTAGTTGAAATAAACACCTTTTATCAAAAACTAAACAAGAACAATTCAAAGTTCAAACCAAGACCAAAACCCTACCTTACCAAATCGATTCGTACTAGAATACAATTAGGATCACACCCAAAAATTTGATTCAGAAACTGAATTAATTTAAATACGATTACGATATTTATACTTTCAAAGTTCAAAACTAACCATACAAAACATTAAAAAAACTAACTTTAGTTTCTTTACATTTTTAGGCCAAAAAAGAACCAGAACCAAACCTATTAGCTAGTTTAGTGACTAATTAATTTTCTGAAACCAAAAGATTAAACCGAAGTAGTAAGGAAGAAAGTAAATGACGTTACCAAGCCACCGGTGGCGAAAGTAAGGAGGAAACAAGCGACGACGGAGCCAAGAAGCTGAGCGATCCAGTAGAGAATACCACGGAGGAGAGTGATGTTACCACCGAGGAAGGCACCGAAGGTAACGGCGGGATTAACGTGACCACCGGAGATGTTAGCACCGACGGAAACAGCGACGAAGAGACCGAAAGCATGAGCTAAGGCAGCGGCGACGAGGCCGGAAGGAGTGGTGGCTCCATTGTCAGTGAGCTTGTTGAAAGCAATTCCGGAGCCTGAGCCGGCGAAAACAAATATCAACGTTGAGATAAACTCGGCGAGAGCCGCCCTAAGTGCGCTTGGGTGAGTCACTTCTTCTTGGACTCCGCCGATGGCGATGTTTCTGATCGGCATGATCGGAGAGTTTCAAATGGTTTAGTGGTGGTTTTTTTGTGTTTGTCTATGTAGTGATTGGTCTGATTTTCTTTTGTGTGTTTAGGGTAGTGTATATATAGCCAAGTGTGTTTATCTCCAAGTATATATAAATCCATTTCTTGTCATATATATCAGCATATTTGTTTTTTTTTTTTTAAAACATTACATCGATGATACACAAACCATGTTTATAAGTCCGTTTTCCAATTTTCTAATAATCATCTTTTTCAAATTTCTGTTTGGCATTTAAAAGTGTTGTTTTTATTAATGGAGTTTTTTAAAAAAAAAAATATGTGAGCCAAAAATTGTCTTATAGAATACATAATTTTTAAAGATATTTACATGATTTCTTTGGAAAATATAGCATACTATACATGTTGAATTGTCTGTCATAGTTACATCTCTTACCAATTAAGTTGTCTATTCCAAAATAACCGGATATTTCTCTTGCATCATGTACATTACTATTTACAATTTTTTTTTTTTAAAAAAAAATGTAATAGATGATTTCTTTTGTTTCTTAAAAGATCTATTTTGTTAGCTATATTTTTTCTGTTCTAATTTTTTAATATTTTTTTTAAAGAATACAGACTCCTCTCTTGACGGTAAAAAAAATAGATTGATAGTAAAATATGTGGAAATGACTTTTGGTAAAGTTCATTCTGTTAGCCAATAAAAAAGGAATTGAAACGGATAAGTGGTTCATTAATCGCCTAATTGACTCGACCGGATGCAAGATATTGCGGTCGAACCAAACGACAACAAACCCGGTTTATTATCGAATCGCGACGATTAGGGACACAGTTAGTGAAGGAGATATCACATGGTGGGGTCCATTTTGATCACGTGTCGTCGGTCGGTATATAGCGAGATAAGAGTAGTGAATGGGATACAGCTGGCTCTGGAACTAACCAATCACAAGTGCCAGCCTGTCCTTACCCCTTCCACTTTTAAGACAATACTTTCTTTAATTTTTCACATGTTTTTCTTTTTTGGTTACCCATTGTGCATATATCTTTTTAATCTTTTGGTTAACTCTATTTTTTTTTATCAGGAATTGTTTCCATTTACTTTGTTAATTTCTCTCAATCTTCTAGATTAGTTTTAAGATCTCTATATTCTTCTTTATATGAAGAAATATATAGTTTGACGAACAAATAAATTATATGTACATATTTGCTTAAAAAAAAACAAATAAATGATCATGAATTATGCTTCATCTTGGTTCAAAAAGTATGATCAAAGAATCCGTCAACAAGCGTTGTTTTTTTTTTTTGCCGTCATATCAGCAAGCGTTACTTTTTTTCTTTTTCTTTTCTTTACTACCATCTCTAAACTTATTATGACGTCTTACAAAATTTGAGACAACGTACTGTTAAGAAACCAAAACACTATTATATACTATGGTCAAATCAAACTAATTATTATAGAAGAAAGCAATAATGAACGGGCCTAGAAAGCTTTTTTTTTTCTCCAATTATCGCCGGCCTGACACAATGGCCGGTGGCGATTTTAGACCTTTAGGTTCCTAGAATTTTATGTTGAAAATACCCTTTTATACAACCAGTTATTACATTGTCTTTTTTTTTCTCCAGTTATTGCATTGTCTAAAATTCAAATGGTGATAATGGAACGCGCAATGCGAAAAATTTAGCTAGTGCAAAATGAATAGTTGGCACGAAGAGGAACGAACGCAAATAAAATAAAACAAATGACAAATAAAAATGGTTGTATATAAAAACTATTAAATTTTAGCCATGCATATTTAATATTTTAAGTGATAGAAACAGTTATAAATTCTTATATTTGATCGATATATTGATACAAAATTGTATATACGGGTAAGAGAGAAAAAAATTGTGAAAAATGCGTTAACAGTCATACCACATTAATTTTTTGGAACTTATTTAGAACATGTGGATCACAAAATGGAACTTACATACAGTAATGTACCATAAATATATATATATATATATATATATATATATATATATTGTGAAAAATATGTTAATTACAAGCCTCCATAAAACAACATTGTCATATTGCGTTGATTACATCATTTATTATATGAATTGGAATAAGTTGTTTCACCACCTTAAATTATATCGAATTTTAGCCGAGGCATTGCTAGAGAGAAAACATATACACAGACAAAAAAAAATTAAAAGTGATGGAATGATCAGAATAGAAAAATGTGGTTAGTAAGGCCAAAATAATACTGACCACTGCGTCACGAAAATGAGAAGGGGAATATGCTTTTAGGATATAAGGCTAACCAAACTTACGCTTTCATAATTAACCAAAGGATAACAGACAAACAGATTAGGTGATGTATTAGTATAACAAAGATAATGAGAGCATCTAATCATTTTTATGAACTTTTAATACTTCTTTGAGCGTTAAACAAGAAAATAGAAGAAGGTCGCGATCGCGTGTACGTGCACCGCGTGTAAATATATTTTGGGATTCTATAAAGTTTAGATAGGGTTTAGTCTAAAGTTATTCATCTATCTACAAGACACGAGAAATGGTGTACAAGTGCTCATATGCATGGGCTTCTGGTTAGTTAAATGGAGTTCAATATATATATATATATATCTATATATATATATGTGATTTCTTACCAATCAAGGATTCCAGTTTTTGTTTTTAGTTTGAATATATACTACATGCGGAGCCTAATTTATAAGATGGTAAATTATTGTAATGACCATAATGATGTAAAGGACTACAACTACAACAACAACAACCTAAAAAGAATCATAAAATATAATTCTAATGATGTTTTACTTTGTTTCATGTAATTTTGTGGTTGAGAAATCATATATATAAAGATATATTACAACGATATCACGTATATGAGCGCCATAAGTGGTTACTAAAGACATAATTATGATTTTAATTAGAATTATATATTTCATGTTCGCCTGTCGATCCAACCTTTATAATACTTTTTGTAATATCCTAGCTTATATAGTTTTCTCTGATTAAATCTACTTTAGAATAGATATAAAAAAGGCAAAGAATTGAGATTAGGATACTACCAAACAGATAACGTTTTATATTTTTAAGTAAACGTAGTGGACAAAGAATTGAGATTAGAATACTAAGAATGACTTGGCATAGGGATCAATAATAGGACTATTATAGAAACAGCATTAGTCCAAAAGACATGGTTAGTCTGTAAATGTCACTTCTAATTTTCAAATAATGAACCGGCGATGACTAATCTACATAATTAATTAATTATTTTTTTGTATGCCAAAGTGATGATGTGTTATCCTCTTTCAATTCATTTAAAAATAATAATATATTATTCATTCAAAAAAATATATATATATTTTTATTCATGTATTCTTTTTCTCCGATCACGAACGACGTTTATCTGTTTATGAATTACTTTGGGTTTATATTTTTTTATTTTCATGTGATTACCGTTATCTTTTTTTGATAAATCGATAAAACACATCTTATACTATTAGAAAATTTATGAATGGCGAAGTCTAGAAATCTTATAATAGAATGGCACTTGAATTATGATCACATGACATGTTTTGGTTATGAACTTGGAAGAAATATACCGGTTTCGGCCCAAACTTTATAATCATTAAAAAAATATATTCAGCTAATATTTAACCAAAAGCGTCACTTTTAGATTTCTATTAAAATATGTGAGCATAAAACTATTTATACAAAAATGTGTGTAAGTATATGTTAAATTTGATACCAATCATAATTCAAATAAAATGACAGTGGAAGATCAATTTCTTCCTCTTTGATGAAGCTATCTTATGTCCCAAAGGTTTAAGCCTTAGACTTCTTTGAATCTCAGACTCTGAAAATTACAAAACAGAGATTGCACGATAAATTGTGATAAATATGATAATTGATCACTAATACATTAAGACTTGAAAACCTTAAGACATTAAATCACGAATATCGCAAAACTGAAATTGTATGTATAAAGAAAAATCAAATAAAATACTTGGAATCTTCTTTCCATTATTCGAGTCTAAGACTTCCAAAATCGACCGACTCAAGCTCTGTTTTAGGGAACCACAATGCTGGTTTTTTGGGAGTAGAGATAGATCCTTTTACCTGATTTCAATTTTAGCATTGTTATTCACCCAGGGTAATTTCAGACTTCAGTGGTGAAGAGGAACGCTTCAATTTCTGGACAAAGAAGCAACAAGAAACAAGATCGATTAGCATCAGATCAAGACGTAAACATCGACGCACGAGTTTAAATGCAGAAAGTACTGTATACCAACAATGGTGAAAAGTCCTTGCACAAAACATAGTGATAATAGAGAAAATCAGGAACAAGAGATCATTAAAGTGTGTAATTTTCCCATAATTACTAAATAGGAAAAACAAGTCATTCTTTTCCAGCAGAATAAACTCGTTTTACGTTATGAGAGATTACGCAACATAAACTTCAGTCATCAGATCCATCACTGAGTGGGAACTAGAAGATATTAAGCTAGAAACCAAAATTCACATAGTCACAAATTGAGCACAAAGCACTACATGGAACATAAACCTTACCAACAAATCGAACATAGCTAAAGAGAAAAGAGAGAAAATTTGATCAATGAATACTAATAGAGAGAAATGAAGATGCATACACACTCACACACACACACACATACATATATGTGCATGAAAAGCAATTGAAAGAAGAGTTGGGAATCTGTGATTACCTCCGAGAAGAAAAGAAATCACTTGGAGTGGCAGGAGAGACTAATGTGTCTCTCTAATCTCTTCACCTCCTGCGCCAACGGCTTTATCCCCGTTTCTCTTCCTGGTACTCAAAAGACACTTGTCTGCAATCCTTCCAAATGCATGTTCTTGGATCTGACTGGAGGACACAATCTCTTTGTTTAAGATTCATCTATGGTGGCTGAAGGTATGATCATTCATGAAGCCTTTTCGCAGCCCATGCTCCCAACTTTTTCCAGCCGTAATTTTGGCAAGCATCAAATATCCTCGTCAACATTTGGATAGTTGGATCAAAAGGCATCAAGAGGAGAAATTCTTCAAGCTGATGCAAGCATCCATACTTGCAGTAGAGTTCAACCATACAATCATAATGCTCAACCTGCGGTAATATAAGATATTTGGTGCTCATAGAACTGAAATACTGAAAGCCGAGTTCGACATGACCTTCACGTATGCAAGCATGTAAGATTCCCAGAAAGGTGACATGGTCAGGCTTAACTCCTTCATCTTCCATTAGCATGAACAGCTCAAACACCTCTTTGCTTCTTCCATTACGACAGCATCCACGAATAATAGAGTTCCATAGAATCAAGTCCCGTGTGGCTGCCTCATTGAACACTTCAATAGCATAGTCTAAACATCGGCATTTGGAATACATGTCAACCATAGCACCTCGTATTACAATGTCAATTTCATAGCCATTTCTGATCAGGAAGCCGTGGGTTGCTTTACCTAACTTAAGAGCAGGAATGTTTGCACAGCCTGCTAAGAGCGTTGCGAGTGTGTATTTGCTAGGTTTTGCTTCAAGTTGCATCCCTTCAAAGAAAGAAAGGGCCTGTTCACTCCGCCCAACTTGAGCTAAACCATTCAATAACGCATTCCATGAAACCTCATCTCTTACTTCACTCATTTGACGGAACAAACTATTGGCACTGCGAAAGGAACCACATTTTCCATACATATCAAGAAGTGCATTGGCTACAATCACGTTCGTACCGTATCCATGTCGGTAGATAAAACCATGAGCTTGCTTCCCCATTTGAACATCTGAGACACCTGAGCAGACATTTAGAATCCACACAAGCGTGACATTATCAATATCTTCGATCTCCTTGCGCATCAAAGTGAGAAAATCCAGTGCCTCCTCCCATTCGCTAGCACGTACATATCCGCCCAACATTGCGTTCCATGAGATTATATTCCTTTCAGGCATCAGATCAAATAGTTCCCTTGCATCTCTAGTTATACCATTCATCGCATACCCTGACATCGCTGAAGTCCAAGATTTCAAATCTCTAGACTCGGTTTGATCAAATACTCTACGAGCACTAACCAATCTGTCACATTTCACATACATGTCAAATATAGAAGTAGACACAACTTTGTCTGCCACAAAATTAAGTTTGACAGCAATCGCGTGGAGAACCGTTCCAAACTGAAGGGACTTAGATCTTGAACAAGCCAAAATTGCACTAGAAACCGTGTGATTCAAAGGTCGAACATTTAACTCTAGCATCTTGAAGAACATCACCACTGCTTCATCATTACAACCCATCTCAAGATACCGTCGCACAATCACGTTCCACGAGACGTCACTGGGATTTTCAATCTCATCAAACACTCTTCTCGCATCACTCATAACCCGACACTTACCGTAAACATCAACAATCGAAGTCTCCAAATCAACATTCCCCGAAAATCCATGCTTCATCACAGCGCAATGAAGCTGCTTCAACAATCTCAAGTCTAATATCAAACCGCACGACTTCAAAACACCAGCGAAAGATGTCTCCGTTGCTCGTATACCATCTCTGTTCATTCTACGAAACGTACGAAACACCTCGTCGTGAACTTCGTTCTTAGAACAAGCAGTGATCAAAGCGTTCCAGGAGCCACCATTTCGTTCAGGCATTTGCTCAAACAGTTCTCGGGCATCATTCACACACCCGATTTTACCGTAGGTTTCGATTGCTCTGTTCATGAGGAAAATCGGGGGCACAGGAGAGAAAGTCATCAAATGGGATTCGACTTTACGGGCTTGCACGACGAGGGATTTCGAGGAACAGGAACGGAAAAGACGCTCGTATAGCTTGTATGAGACTCGCTCAAGAGAAACAAAGAGAACAGAGACGGCTTTCGAGACATTGCCGCCTTCGAGTTGCTCGAGAATTTGATGGGTCACTGAGGTTTTAGGTACACGGCGCTTGCGGGTTTTGTCGTCTCTGAAAAGACGGCCAAAAGAAGGAACTTTTCCGGTCACTGCCATGTATAATGGAATATGTTTTGTTCATCAACTCAAAAGAGAGGACATTTAATAAGACATCGTTTTGGTTCGGTCCAACAGTTAAATAAAAGAACCGAATAATCCAAGATGCAAGTAATCTACTAATAAAACGATGATGAAGCTGCAATCTATGACATATCCATCATTCTGTTAGTTTATAGATTTGAATACAATTTGAAAGGTACAAAAAGAGTAACATTTGAAGATTTGCGTGATACACGAAAGGAAGAAAAAAAAAAAATGAAGTCTCTCTCAAGCACGTCTTTTGCTGAGACGCCAAGAGTTAGGCTCGTGATAACGATCATACAAAGGCTCAATACGTTCTTGGCGCTTACGCTTGCTCATTTTGGTTGGATCAGCGACTTTGAAGAACCTTGGAGCTAACTCAACAAGCCACTTTGGGTCTATCACAGTCACTTCTCTCATGTACTCTTTGGTCGTCATCACAAGATCATGATATATCACCCAATCTGGCTGTCTCTGGAACAGAGCGCTGCTCGGGTGTATGTAAACCGGTTGATTCTCCACTAGCGTCCTGTAACCTTCCTGAGGATCTTTTCTTGCTCCATGGAAGAAGAATCCTGCTGTGATTGCTTTCCTTATCTTTGTGAAATTCTTTCCCGCGCTTACCACGTCTAGTTTATACCTGTAAAACATCAAAAATCACACGTTAAGAGACTGGTCTTTCCACACATATCAACAAGCTAATAAGGTCTACACTAGTTTAGTTAGTTACTTGTCCATAATGCTGAGAAGCTGCTTCCTCACATCTTGAGCACGTCGTAACGATCGTGACTGAATGAAGTTTTCGAAACACCATGGACCTGAAAAGTTTTTGTCCTTCCAAGCTTCATATACAGCTAGCAATGTCAAGTGGTCACCTTCGGGCTGGAAAAACTTTGCCCTTTTTTGGTCTGCCTGAGCTTGCTTCTCCCTCGGTCTATAGAATATGTTGCCCGTCTGGATCATAGCAATCATCGTTAAAATCTCATCGCTGCACCCGAGATCCACACTCGCTAGCAACATTTTTGACAGCGGGGGTTCAAGAGGAAACTCCGCCATTTT